TATAAGGCGCTGTTTTTGTATGACAACCCAGTGACAAGGATGCCTGCAGCGCCAGCACAACGTTATGACATCACGCATGTTGTTGAGTTTAGAATAGTGAAAATTTACAAATTTGCACTGTTCCAGTGTTGTCATTGTTTTAGAGAGAGTAAATGTCATGAATAAATTTGACATTAAACATAATCCAAGTTGAAGTGTTGCATCATTTTCAGCCCCCTTTTTGGCATCTGCATTTGGTATCAGGCCAAACTGACAAAGACCGTGCAGAATAATGTATTTTAATTCCACAGCAGAGAAAGCTCTGTAGTCTCTGTAAGTAGATCCAGGAAAAATATCGGTATTGGTATCGGCCAAATAAGTTTTAACATATCGGAATGTCGGCCAAAAATCCAATATCGTGCATCCCTAGTTAAAGTTTGTTTTATTTTAATTTATGGGTCATCACCTGGAGCAGTTGTGTCCACTCCAGCCTGGAGTGCAGCTACATCTGTTCGGCCTGATGCATCTTCCTCCGTTCAAACACGGTGACGAACACACAGCTGCATTCAGATCAGGAACAAGCACAAAGAAAAGCCATCAGGATGTTTCATCAGCAGATAACAAGACTGATGACATCATTGTTGTCAGGAGGAAATGTGACTCAACAAACATACTGTATTAAAGGATTTTATTTGCAATAATGTGAACGCTTATAAAGCAAAGGGATCCAATTCTCTTCTGTATGTTTTTCAGCACATAACTTGTTCTGCAGTTTTAGTGCTATTTCAACAATTCAACAAAACATTCAGCTCATTCAGGACAGTCCTGCTTTGATTTTTAGTATTCCTGCAATTTTTACCTTTTTGAAACATTGAACCTTTTCTGCCATGTTTTTCTCATTGAAAATAAATGGAGCTCTCATCCTTCAAACCCTTTGAGCTGTTTTAAACAGTTTGCTGCTCATTCCAGCTTTTGGTCTGGTTCAGCTTCCTTTAGCTCCTTTATGATTTTTTTTTTCAACTCATTTCAGCTATTTTTCAGCAATCATCTTTTAGCTTCTTTCTGCTAATTTAAGCATTTTATGCTCCCTTCAGCTTCTTTCTGCTAATTTCAAATATATATTTTTTAATATTAGATCTTTTAAAAAATATATATTTTCAGCCTCTCTGCTTGTTTCAGCTACATTTTTGCTCTATTCAGCTTTTTCTACACATTTCTTCTGTTATTCTGCTGCAGATAGCGCTCTCTCACTTTGCTAAAAGTCAGCGGTTCAAATTCAACTCACATTAACAGTTTGGAGATGAAGCCTTTTCAGCCTGGTTTTAGCTTCTTCAGCAGCTTTCAGCAAAAAAAATCCTTCAGCAATATAACCATTTATACTGCATTTTCAGAGGAAATACAATTTACTGTCAACCACCTCATGTCTGATAAGAGCTTTAGTTCTGACAAAGGGACAGATTAGATATTATCTTATCTCTTTGAACAACCAGTAAAGTTTAACGGCTAGTCTGAGCAGGAACCAAAATGGAGTTCTGCCGTCTTAAAACAGCACCAATCTTTTTAAAAATTACCAGTAATGAGTCATTTCAGACACCTTTACATTTCTGTCAACTGAACATAACACGTGTATTTACACAGAATTATTACATGTTGGCCCCATTCAGACAAATCACGAGTTTAAATCAGAATTAAAGGCCTACCATTCTTGAAAGAATGCATATCACCCATCGCCTTTCATGCCAGAACTTTAAACTAAAACCATCTTATGCTGAGAAAGGACAGATTTGGTCAAACCTAGCATATGATGTAATATTAATCTGTTAGTACTCAAAGTATATCATGGGGATGACTCTCAGCTACTGCCACACTAACTTTAGCTTAACATTTATCAAAATTTATGGAGTTATAGCCACTTTTGTGTTAGCTAATGCTGATTAGCTGTGACAGCCTGCTTGAACTGGGTAGAGTCCAAATGATAGTGAGTTGTAGATGTGCAGGCAGTGATTACGTTCTGAGTTTCACTAAAGTGTCACAGTCTGACAGAGTTGACTCCAAGAGTTAAGGACAAAATCTGAAGCAAAGATGTCGCCCATTAAGCAGTGCTTGAAGTATGCGTTAAGGATGACTCTAAGTTACTACCACATCAAATTTTAGCTCAATATTTGGAACGTTGTTTGAGTTATGACATTTTTTTGTGTTTGCTAATGTAGAATAACTGAGGCGGCTATCTTAAACTGAGTTGACTTGAAACGTAAATGAGTCTTAGATGTGCATCCAGTATTCTGAGAGTTTTACTACAAACCATTCAATGGTTCATGAGATATTTTGCAGTATGTGCTGGATACGTCTCGGCTACAGATTATAGTTCAACGTCTGTAAAACTGGTCGAGTCACAACCAGTTGTGTTTCCTAACATTAGTTGGCTGTGGCAGCCATCTTGAAATAGATTTACTTCAAAAGATAATAAGATATAGATTTACATGCAATAATTACTTTTTAAGAGCTTCATTCAAATCCGCCCAGTTTTATGAGATATTTTGCTAACACTTCTATACTAACAAATACACAAACATAAACACTGTTGCTTTGCCTTCAGCAGCAGGTTATTATAAAACTTTTTTTTTTCCAAACCGTGTATTAGCAGTTAGTAATCAGAGTTATCTGCAGCAGGTAATATATTGACTGTTCGTATTTCCAAAGCGAGGTGAAACCTTCATGAATAAACTCACCTGCTTGACAGCGGGTGCCCGTCCACCCGGCGGGACACTCACACTGGTAGGGGGCCACGCAGCGCCCTCCGTTCAGGCACGGCAGGATGCAGATAGCTGGTATGAAAGGACAGTTGAGTGTAAACAGGAAGTTAATCGACTTCTCGACAGAACAGATTTTAGCTGCTCAGTGAGCTGGGTGCCATCTTGAATTCAGTGACAGCTTGTTTTGTGCCACATGAAGGGTTGTTGTGTTCTGGGAGTACATTTGTGTGAGCGCTTGTGAAGCTCATTTTACATCCTTCAAATCCTTAGATCTGTTTACAACCTTTTACTGCTTCTTTCACATTTTGTTCTGCTTCAGCTTCTTTCAGCTTGTGCAAATTTAAACTTTTTTTCAGCTACTTTCAACTAATTTCAGCAGTTTTTTTCAGCTGTTCTGTGATACTTTCAGATTCTTTCTTCTTACTACATTTTTGTGCTTCTTCTAACTTCTTTCTGCTAATTTCAGCTTATTTATGCAAGTTTCAGCATTTCTGCTATTTCAGCTACCATCTAGCTGCTGTTATGCTAATTTTAGTTTTTCCCCAGCTAATTCCACATTTTTGCATCATATTAACTTTTTTCAGCCTCATTCAACAAAAATGTGCTCTCGCCACTTTCTTCTGGTAATTTAAGCTTCTTTCTGCCTTTTTTATATCTACTTTTCATCTGGTTTTTTTTTTTGGTGCTAATTTCAGCTTTTTCCTGATAATTTTCACGTTTTTCTGCTCAGTTCTGCTTCTTTCATCCGAATTGGGCAAAACTGTGCTCTCTCAACGTACTTCTGCTAAGTGAAGCTTAATTTTCAGCTAACTTTTTAGCATTTTTTAGGTAACTTCAGCTGTTTTCAGATAAAGTTTTTCATGTTAATTTTAGCAGCTTTGAGCTTAAATACATTCTTTATGCTAATTTCAGCATGTGATGCTCCGTTCAACTTATTTCTGCTAGTTTCAGCTTTTTCTGCTCTTTCAGCTACTATTTAGCTATTTTTGTGCTTAATTTAGCTTTTTCGGCTAATTCCACATTTTTTGAGCTCATCTTCTTCCACTTCATTCTGGTAGTTTAAGCTTCTTTTTGCCTTATCTTATTTTCAGGTAATTTACTAATTTTTTGTGCTAATTTCTGTTTATTTAAACATAATTCAGCAAATATGTGCTCTTTCTGCTTTCTTCTGCTAACTTCGGCTTATTCTTCCATTTCAGTTACATTTTTTTAGCTAATTTCAGCTGTTTTTTTTTAGCAAGTTATTCAGCAATAAGCATTCACACTACATTTTTGCAGGAAAAGCAAATTCTCTAGTTTGTCTTGTTTCACACTTACGCTCCTCACAGAGTCGACCCATCCAGCCTTCAGGACAGGCACAAATGTTGGGCCGCTGACACACACCTCCGTTCTGACACTGCAGCCAACACACCGCTGAAGAACGAGACACACACACCACTTAAGTTAGGTGCATTTAATTCAGATGGAATGTGCTGCACAGAAACCTCTCAGTCAGACGACAGGCTTTAGTTCTCTTGGAAAAGATCACAAAACTTCATGCACTCGTGCAAAAGCAGCAGACTGAAAGAAAGAACTGAGAAGGCAGCGCTGCAGACAGGCAAAGAACAGGCTCAGCAGCTTCTCAGGGAAAGCTTTTCTGGACGCAGCTTTTGTTTCTCATTTGTCAACCCTTTGACTAGATATTTGCATTTCAGCCTCCATGGAACTGCTGAGATTTGTGCTGTAAAATGTAAATTGGTCCAGATCCCAACTGGTTCTACAAACACCACCACTTCATAATGTTGTTCGTTCTTTTAGAAGTAAATGTAGTGAACCATTTATTATCTCGTTTTTTGATAAAATGTTACTTTACAGCTGGTGAAGTCACTAAAAATGAGTCAAAAAAATTATATTTCTGCTTAAAATAATGCTTTTTGATCCAGACTGTCAGCACCGGCACATAAATATGATCCCGTGTTTTTAGTCCATCTTATATTACAGATCTTATTGTTCCATATTTTCCTAACAGAGCACTTCGCTCTCAAACTGTAGGTTTACATGTGGTTCCTAGAGTCCAAAAGCAGAATGGGAGGAAGATCTTTCAGTTTTGAGCCTCCTCTTTTGTGGAACCAACTTCCAGTTTCTGTCTATGAGGCTGACACATTGTCCAGTTTTAAGACTTTCCTTTTTGATAAATCCTATAGTTAGGATTGGCTTGTTATGCTGCTATAGGCTTAGACTACTGGAGGAAAATTGACCTAATTTCTTCAAATTAATTGATAAAATTGAATAGTTTTCATTTGATTTTATTTCTATCTTAACATGTGATTCTGGACCTGCCATTGTGTATCTGTTCCTCTCAAACCCAGCCAGTCGAAGTACAAAGTAGATGACCGCGTGTCCTGAGCCTGGTTCTGCTAAAGGTTTTTCCTCATGAGGGAGTTTTTTCCTTTCCACTGTCGCCTTCATGCTTGCTCATAATGAGAGTCTGCGATGGAGTTAAACTCGAAGCAGTCTGCTCCTCAGATAAATAATGTTGTTAGCTTACTTTCTATATACTGGTATACGAATGTGTCTGTTCAGTGCCCTGAGATGACTTGTGATTGTGACTTGGTGCTATATAAATGTGCCTCGCTGCGCCCTTCCTTCCCGCTCCGGCGCGGGAGGGACGGGCCCCCCTCGCCCCCGGCACGGCTGCCGACCGGGACGGACTGTTCTCAGTATAACCCAGCCGCGCTGCCAGGGCGGGGACCGGCCCACGGTTCCCGGTACATGTTCCTGTTTTTAGTTTTCTACATGCACCTTAGAATCTATCTGTTTTTTGTTGCTTTTCTTTTTTAAGACATCCTATTTGTTAAAAAAAAAACAAAAAAATCTGTATGACTTTTTATAACTGTTTATTGTTGTCACTGTTGTCCATTGTTGTCATCATTCTTTGTTGAAATCAGGTCTCTCTTGTAAATGAGTCCTCGAGACTCATTGGGATTTACCTGTCTAAATAAAGATTGAATGAAAAAATAAACTGAACTGAAAATAGTGAACAAGTTCATGCCTGTGTGTGTTCAAACTAAATGACTGAATTTCAACAGAAAAAAAAGTTTCCGTTTCTGCACACAACCACACTGTTCCTGTTAAGCTTGTGGTTAAGTCAGTGTAACACCAAGCACTGTATTTTTTTACTCCACTAAGTGTTTTAAATAAATCTGAGTTGATATAAGAAGTCTTAAAAACTCCTAAAGTGAAAGCGAGCTGCACAACGGTCAACACGCACTGATGTCTGGATGTAAAACACACTCGGGTTACGTTTTTATTCAGGTGTTTGATGAGTCTAGATGACAGGAAACACTGAACAAGAGGAGGCAGATTATTTTTTACAGGTTTCTGAATCAGTCTTTTCCCAAAGTTTTAATTAGTGATGAGCAAATATTCATAAAAATCTGAAGATTGAAGCGTTGGAAGAAAAGCAACAGTTTAAAGGAGAGTTAAAAAGCTGCAGGATGTTATTTGTTATGTGCAAAAGAGACAGAGTCAGGAGGTGTCCTCAGGGAGGGGCGGGGGATGGGGACAGTCCTGTTAGTCGTCCTTTCTACCTCTGCACGTCGGCGTCGGCGTCCAGGTGCCGTTCTCCTGACACCTGCTCTTTCCGACGCCCTCCATGGTGTAGCCGACGAAACACGAGTATGCTGCCACGTCCCCGAACTGGAACACCGCCCCCCGCACCACCCCGTTGGCCACGTGGAGGGGCGGGCCGCAGGACACCCCTGCACAACAACCCAAATGGAACGACCCACGGGTTACTCACCGCACCTTCGTGGAGTTGGTCAGCTCAGTTTATTTGCATTTACACTTTCATTTTCATTTTGATGTTGCTTTTGTTTTTATTTTCCTTTAAACTCTGGCGTTTCCTACAAACTCTTCCGTTTTTCTTTTTGTCTGCCTCCACATGAACGTAAAATTTCATCTCTGAGTTTGTGATTACTGAACAAGTCAGGTGTGTTTCCTTTGTATTATCCCAGAAGCCTGTGATTTTCATGCAACGTGTCACTGCTGTGGATCAGTTGAAACACAGACTATGAATGGCTTTAGGCTAAAAAGGACATGGATAAGGAAGCATGCATTTATGAGAACAAACCGCATGCAAATACAAGCAAAGAGCCATAGCAACCTCGGCATCATATTCAGGTCTGATGAGAGATCAAAGTGGATCAGACAAAGGTTGCCTGTGATCAGTTCAGTGTTTGATGCAGCATCATTTGTGTTGATTAAAACTCACGCAGGAACGGATAGAAATCGAAAATTTACACCCAACAAGCAGCCACGCAAGAGTGAAAAGCGCATGGTACAGGAGCATGCAGAGGTGTGCACCGTGATTTATCGTAAATACTTAAAAGAATCTTAACAACATCACAATTATTCGCTTTAATGTTATTTAGGTCGTATACATCCTAATGATTACAAGTGAGTGATTGGTTTACAAATTGATCATAGAACAGAAACTAAAGGCCCAGCCTTCCTTAAAAAATGCCATCACCCACCATCTAACATGTCAGGTTCTGACTTCAATCATCTTAGGATGAGAAGGGACAAAGTTATAATGTTTTGACATTTAATTTAAAAACCTTATAAATTATATGCACAATCTAATGTGAAATTGCAGAATCTCACGTGACTTGTTAGCACATGAAATATGTGTTGAGGGTGACTTTCAGCTACTTCCACAGTTTTAGATCAATATCTCTAGAGGGTATGATGGTTAGTAAATATTTAAAAATAGAGGCTGTGTATTGCGAAGTTAAACTTTATATTAAAGATGATAAGAACAGTATGATCAGAGATTATTTTTAACTACTACATTCATGAGAATAGTACAAAACATTTAGAAAAACCTGTCTATTAAGTGACCAAATCTATATTTTACATAAATCATCTTCTACAAATTATATATATATATATATATATATATATATATATATATAT